TGTAAGAAATCAGAAAAGGCAGATACTTTTTAACAGTACTGTACTCAGGAGGTGCATGTTGAAGTAGTCAAATATGTTATGAGGACAAGCTGATCTGGCAAATATGTTACAAATAATGCTAACTGTAAAAGTAGGGCAGGCTTTGCAAAGACAAACAAAAACACTTGGACAGATTTTACTTTATACTTCAGCACTATGATTTCAAGTTTAATAACCAGGATCGATAGGTATTGCTGATGTGTATTAACTCTATGCTCGCTTCTTTTGCATTGGAACAGGAATCTGCAGGCTGCTATTGGTGCATATTATGACTTTGAAAGTCCCAATGTCAACACCCCATCTATGTCCTTTGTTGAGGATGTGACAATTGGGGAAGGAGAGTCTGTCCCTCCAGATACGCTGTTCACTAAGACCTGGAGGATACAAAACACAGGTATATGGGCTTTACATTTACACCTTCACATTGTATACATGTAGATAGTCTTTATAAATCTGTAACGTGTTCATGGATTTTGTTGAGATGTATTTTGAATGAATTCTTCTTGGTGTCTTGTAGGTGCAGAGTCATGGCCACCGGGCGTTTGTCTCAAGTACATTGGAGGTGATCAGTTTGGGCATGTAAACACAGTTATGGTGAAGTCACTAGATCCCCAGGAAATATCAGATGTGAGTGTGCAGATGCGAAGTCCCACAACTCCTGGCATGTACCAGGGCCAGTGGAGGATGTGTACTGCCACTGGATTATTTTATGGAGGTAAGAACCACTACTACTTTGATTAACTATCAAGTACATTTATGAGACCTATGACTAATAATAGTAAATAATAATTTCAGTTCATACTAAGCCAAGATAATTAATCAGATTTATATCTCATTTACAATTTTCGGTTCCCGTGATGATTAAAAACAACATTATAATACAACTGTTAGTATTTTGCTTTCATGTTCAGAACAAAGGTCTTGTTTAGGTACTCTGTAATACATTAGGCTCCCCTTTTCTTCATAGCTGTGTTCTTTGCTCATCCTAATAACTTAAAGTCAGTCGCTTTTTACTGCAGCTTCAGAAAAGCTCATTAAGAGACATCAATCTAGAGCAGGGGTGCCCAATCCTGGTCCTCGAGAGCTACCGTCCTGCAGCTTTTAGATGCATCCTTGTTCCCACACACCCGAATCAAATGAATGGCTTGTTATCAGGCCTTTGCCAAACACGATGGCATGCTGAAGAGGTAATCAAACCATTTGATTCAGCTGTGTTGGAGTAGGGATGCATCTAAAAGCTGCAGGATAGTAGCTCTCGAGGACTGGGATTGGGCAGCCCTGATCTAGAGGAAGTAAGACTCAAGTTTTTGTAGTCAAAAACTGCAGGATTATCAGTTGTGTGTGGCTCCCTGTTTCTGCAGATCCGACGGTCTTTCACTCAGCCCACTTTCAACAGTGTGCGACAATTTGCTGTCGGCTTTGGTTTTTTTCTCGCCTCTGTGACTGCTTTGCAGGTCTCTGAGCCACTTGAGCTCACTGTCACTCTGTGCCCTCTTGGCCTCCATCTGTGCCGGCAGACTTCCCACAGCGGAGGCAGGTTGGCAAGAACCAATAGCTACCGGAGACAAAAAATTGCCCCCTGGTCAAGGCCTAACACTGTTCCTCACCCCCCATGATTATGACTTTTGCCATAATTGAACTGCCTTAGTCTGTAATCAGAATCAGAATAC